AATGTATGAAGCATACGAAAAACTTAAAGCAAATAGTATTAAAGTTTATGCGGTGAAAACCGATGCCTTTCATATTGCAAAGAAAGATGTAAGGAAGGCAAAGAAGTTGTTAGATTTTCATAATGATATTGGAGGTTGGAGAGTAGAAAATAATAAAGTCTATGAACTGGAAACTGATTACAATTGGAAATTTAATGAGTTAGTAAAAATACCAACTTTTCAGAATGAAACAATACCGATTGAAGATGAGTGGGATGTTGAAAGCATCTGTAATAAGATTATTGAAAAAAGAAGAGTTATGATTAGAGCAACATTTGCTGGGAGCGGTAAAAGTTTTATAGGCAAGTATATGGAAAATTTAGGATACAATACACTTTTTGTAGTGCCTCAAAATATGTTAAAACAAGAGATTGAATGCGAAGCGGTGACAGTAAATACATTCTTTAGCATTCCAGTTGATAAAGGGGATGACCTACCAAAGTTTGATTATTCAGATTTTGATTGTATAGTGTTTGATGAGATTTATATGTCCAGTCCTTACATATTGAACAAAATAAGGGTGTTTGCAAATAACAATCCTGACATCGTAATTATAGGTGCCGGTGATGTCAAGCAACTGCCACCGATTGAACCTTTCACTAATACTCAAAATGCAGGCGAATACATTGACAAATGTATTGACATTATTTTTAAATATAATATATTTTTAAAGATATGTAAGCGAGTAGGTGGTAAGGATACAGAAGAAGGAGAAAGAATCAGAAAGAAACTGAATGAAATCTATGATGACTTTTGGGTAAAAAAGATGGCAGTTGAAGAATGGATAGTTAAGCATTTCAAATTTACTAAAGATGTTATGAAAAGCAGGAACAACATAGCATATACAAATATTAGATGTGAGGCAGTATCCAATGAAATTAGAAAAAGATGAGGTAAAACATGCAAATATGAAATTGGAGAAATCTTAATATGCAGACTTTACAAAAAGGACAAGGAAGGAAAACTGAATGTTAATATTAGGTGGAAGGTTGTTAATAACGAAGGATACAAGATAACAATACAAGATATTAAGGATGCAGAGAACATTAGAACACTTGACATTGATATTATAGATAAGCATTTTAGATATGCCTACTGTGCTACCACTCATAGCAGACAGGGGACATCAATCAGTGATAATATGACCATTCACGAATGGAACAAAGATTATTTAGTTTGTAGGGAATGGTTGTGGACGAGTATCACACGAGCGAGGGATTTTAACAATGTCTATTTTTACAAGAACAAAGAGGGAGATGAAGATATGTTTAAGAGTTTGGTAATCAACTATTTTAAAAACAAAGTTGAAGGATATAAACAGCAAGATAGAGTAGCAAAAAGAGAAATAGACGAAGAGCAATACATTGACGAAAACTGGTGCTTAAAATACTTCAAATCCTGTTGCCAAAACTGCGGAATTAAATTTAATCTAGATACAAGAGGAGGAAAAATAAGTTCTAACTTCACTGCTCAACGTTGTGATAATGAGTTATGCCACACAGTTGAAAACTGCACCGCCTTTTGTGTCTATTGCAATTGCAGCGCGTCATGAATAATTTTGAAAATGAGTTTTTCAAAATTATTTTATTAACTTAATTAATGAGTTCAACACAAGAAATTATCAAGAGTGTATATTATGATAGAAGCGGTTATGGTTCAAAACAAACAACCCTCAAGGATGCTAAGCAAAAAGATAGTAGTATTACAATAAACGATATTAATGAATTCTTTAGTAAGAATGTAGAAGAAAAAAGAAAGATGAGAGGTGAAAATAGTTTTATTGCTCCGCATAGTTTCTGGGAATTTCAAGTTGATATGTTTTTCATTTCTAAAAATGATTTGGAAAATCAAACATTTAGAATTGGAATGATATGCATTGATATTTTTAGCAAATATATGCACATAGTGCCTATCAAGTCAAAGCAACCGCCAGACATTTTAGCAGGGTTGATGGAGAACCTAAATAAAATGGGCGGGAAGTGTAAATTAATTTATACCGACGAGGAAGGCAGTTTTTTTAATCAATCAGTATTAGATTATTTGAAGGAGGAGAAAATTGAATTACATAGAACTAGAGGTCATCCAGCATTTGCGGAGCGTGGAATTCAGACTTTTAAAGATCAACTGTTTAAACGAGTTGAAGCGGACAAGAAAAGTGGAAAGCATAATATCCAATGGACGGATTATATTTTTGAAATATTATTAACTTACAATAATAAGATGGTGCATTGTGCCACCCGCTTTGTTCCAGCACAGGCAAGATTAAAAAAGAATGAATTTGAGGTAAAAATGAATATTACAATGCAAGCAAGAAATACTAGAAAATACCCTGAGTTGTCAGTGGGTAGTAATGTAAAAATAATGAGGAAGAAAGGCATAAGCGAAAAGGCACATACCAGTCATTGGTTAAAAGAAGTATTTAAAGTAAAATCAATTGATAGTAAATTAGGGCAATCTTACTTTCATTTGGAAGGAAAAACTAGTCCTTATTTGAGACACGAATTATTGAAAGTTTAATATTAAACGAAATACAGTTAAAGAAAAAACGCCTTATAATATTAGTGAAATGTTGTTTAACTATAACAAGTGCGAATGCTGTAAATGCAAAATGAATGATTTGAGTTTAACCTTACATCATATACTACCAGCAAATGTATGTAATAAAATAAGTGAATATAATGTATACTGCAATCAATGCTGTATAACAAGAGACCTTGAAAAGTTTTTTGTTGAAGAACATAAGGATAAGGGATATACAAAGTTTCAATTACAGCTAAAATTCTTTATGCGACACCAAGCAAGATTTCCTATACACTTTTACCAGAAGATTTCCAGAAAGTCATATTGAAAATGAAATTGATGAATTCTTTAGTAATATAGATTTAATTAGGAGGTTTGGAGGAATAAACGCAATTAAACCATACAAAGCATTTGTCAAAAAATACCGTTATTTGTTTGAATGGATTGACTGGCATTTATTAGACAAAGATAAAATAAACGAAGTCTTGAACGAATTTAGAGCAACTAAAAATAGTATATGGTATTACTACAACACTAAATATAAAGTATGTCTATTGTTGTATTTATTCTTTTGGGAATATATTTATTCAATAATAGGAAAAACAATATCAAATATATATACATTGGTGATATAGATAAATATGTAGATTACATATTTGAAGACATATTGCCTGACCATTATTTTAATCCATAAACCTTACAATAAAAAACATTGTAAGATTTATGATTTCAAAATGACTTGAAGAAATAATAACTTAATATATTATAGTAAAATGAGTGATACAGTCGGTATCAATGCTAAAAATATATTGAAAAACAAATTTATGAGTTATAAATGTAAAGACTGTGAAATGCTCAAATTACCAATTGAACGGGGTTTTGCAAATGGTGTTTGTAATAATATTTGTCAATATATAATATGCAATAATTGCAATAGAATTATAAAAAAAAATTGATGATATGAATAGCAAGGATATTGATATTATGAATAATGAAACTATTGATGATGATTTAGAAATATTTGTATTTATTGAAATGAATAATTTCTTAACTATAGAAGGATTTGATAATTTATTAGAATGTAACGACGAAGGATATAATAATGATTTTATTTTTAAGTATGATAGTATTGTAAAACAATTATACAATATGTCTTTTAATATTAAACGTTTCAAATATGTTGTATTGTTTGATTTTTAAATGAGTTTTTAAATGATGAGTATAAAACTCACGAACTTAGATATACAATAAAACGTGCGATTGGAATAATGGGAATGTTTAGAAAAGAAATAAAAAATAATTGTTATAATGAAACAACATGTGACAAAATAATAGAAAGAATTAAATTAATAATTTAGTTTTAGGCGAAATAGTCCTAAAGAAAAAACACCTTATATTAATAGTGAAGAAATGAACGGTATTGAAATCAATAAGTATATTAATAAGAAATGCTATGACTGCTGCCACTTTAAAAAAGAAAATATGGAATTGTATAAATTAAACTTACCTAATGGAATAATAAATAATATTATTGATTATGCTTTGGGTGAAGAAGATTTATGTAGAACTTGTAGAAGATGGAGACGATATCAAAATATAATAGAACATATTTTGGAGATTAAAAAAATAGATGAAAGAAATGTAGAAGATGAGATTTTGATATTTTTAACTGTAAATAAATTACCACCTTACGTTTATGTTAAACAGTTTCTTAAAATCAGTAAGAAAAATATGAAATGATTTATGATATATTAAGGATGTTGTGTTATAGTCAAAAGAAAGGAGAAGATATTAAAGAATATATCAAATTTTATATTGACATTTATAAAAAGTTTAATGTTAAAAATACAGTGAGAGATATTAATATTATTTTTAAAATGATGTATGACATAAGTGAGATTTGTCAATTAAATTATTATCCTGAACTTAAATTATAAATTAACCAATAAACCTTACAATTTAATTTTATTGTAAGATTTATGATTTGAAATTATGGGGATTTTATATTTTGGGATTTTGGAAAATATATCTTGGGAATTTGGGATTTTGGAAAAATATATTTTGGGAATTTAGAAAAATATTTACAAAATTTATGTATCAAATCTTGAGTTGAGGTTCTGTTATGAATTGATGAAAAAATATTATGTGGATTGGTCGGTTGAGGGGATTGTATCTAACTGGGGCAAGGTCTTTGGTAGGTCGTACCAGTAGTACTTACCCCAGCATGCCTGACGATTTTCTCGCCTTTCGCACGAGCAGGTACAGACAGGTCATCTCACAGCGGATTTGACAAATCCAATGGTTCATGCAACCTGTCAAGAGGCACAGGGTCTTTGCAGGTGTCCCAAAGTGCAAGTGGAGGCAGACCGCTTGATGCATGAACGTTTTTCATGCCCATGGGTCCATTTGCACCTGCGATTCCTTCTGGCTTTCGCTTCAAGGAACACGAGGCAACCATTACGGAGGAGGACCGTCACAGCATGCGCCACCTCTTTGAATGGATCAGGCCAGCCTTCTCAGACACCTCACATGTCCAGTTCTCACACAGCAACAAATGCACATGCATAGACCCTCATAGACCCTCATAGATCAACTGTGCATGGTGTTTTTGGATCTGATTTCCTGGCCGCGTCACGCTTGGCGAAACAACACTGTCAAGAGCACCCCCCCAAAGCGGCCAATCTTCACGCAGGGTCCTATTCGAACACACGATTGCGAGGGAGGATTTACCAGCTCCCTGTTGTGGTGCAGAATGTGAATATACAGCCAAGATGCCATACTTATGCCATGCAAAAATCAATTTTATCAATACTTAGTCATTTTTATAATTTAGTTTTGTCAATGCTTAATTGTTGGTTCCCACTACTAAACTCAGTATTGCCAGTACAATCTTTAGAATTTTCAATACTTAGCCTTGGTTCCCACTGCTAATCTCAGTATTGCCAATACCCTATGTAATATTCTCAAATCCTATTCTGGCTCTTCCACTGCTCAACTCGGTATTGCCAGTACCAATCTCGAATTGTCAATACTTAGTCCTGGGTTCCTGCTTCTAAACTCAGTATTCCCCATACTAAATTCAGTATTCTCAATACTTAATCTTAGGTTCCGTCTAGACTACACGCAGTACTACCAATACTAAATTTAGCTCAGGGATCACATTTCGTTGCAGTTAGAACATGGATCACACCTTTGATTGCAGTTAGACTGTACTCGCTACTCATTGGCTGAAGAAAAATCGTAGTGAATCTGCAAGTTCCAAAATCACATATTTTACATTCTGGTCCGGAACAGGAAGCACTCATGTCGATCACAAGTCGAACATGTAGGGCGTTCCACTGGCAACCACGCTCTTGGCAGGGGTGTCCTGAAGAATCAGACGCTGTCAGCTTATCTGTCCGGCCGCCCAGCGATTGTGCCCGAGCAGAGAAGTGCCGAAAGGGGATGACGATGTCCAACCTTACTGGCTTAGTGCCAAAGAACAAGAAACACCAGATAGCTGCCAGGGGCATGCCTTCTGCCGAGCGCCAGATGCCACCAACCATGGACATATCAAACGCGCCAACGCAATTCAACCTCGTGAAACATTGAAGCTAAAGATTGAATTGTCCTTGTTTCCTGAACGGTATGTGATGGATTTGAGTTCTGGGATTAATGTGGAGCTGCAGGGCGAGTCTTTAGGAAACCCTGAACACATGTTAAACAAGGAGCCAAGTAAGTTGATCAGATGAAGAAGTATCACCTATGTTTCTGACGAGGTAGCCGGTGAGGCTTCGAAGGTGAAATATGAGAGAATACAGCGTCCTGGACCACGCTTGCATACAGTACATGGTGAACCCACGCAGGCAAAGTATCGTTGTTTTGGCGTGGGGTGGGAGGCGTAACCGGTGTTTTTTTCTTTGCTAGCCCCGGCTCGGGGCTTAACCCTGGCTCGGAGACTGGTTGGTTGGTTGGTTGGTTGGTTGGTTGGTTGGTTGGTTGGTTGGTTGGTTGGTTGGTTGGTTGGTTGGTTGGTTGGTTGGTTGGTTGGTTGGTTGGTTAGCTGGGCGGCCGCATCGATTGACTTGATGCTCGGGATAGCCGGCCGCATCCATTAATGCAGCACATGTGTACCGGTTTGACATGTGCATTGACTGCTCATAATTTGTGCCAGCACTGCTTTGTTCTACATTGTGTCTTACGTGAGGGCGCATGTTCAATCCTAGCAATCATGGCGAAGTAGCTGATGTAGTGTATTTGTTTAGCGATTTCCAGCATCGGCTTGGATGCTGGTTGCCTCTCTGAGGGAAGATAAGGACGCATCAACGGAGCTTTGGCGCCAACGCCGGCAAATGCAAGCTGAAGCCAGAACAGAACAGCTGCGGAAGCTTGGCGCGTGAGGAAGACCATCGCCTCCCTCAACTTCCAGGATTCTGAGGAGCGCATCCGTGTGCGCACGTTACTACCAGGTTTTGTTTATTGGTGTGCATGCAACCACACACGGAAGTAAGGGTCAGCCGTTTTTCTTTGGCAGAGTCTGTTGGACACTGCATTGAGGCGCTTGCTGCAAGCTTTTGGGGCAGCCGTGCAAAGAGTGTGCAAAGTGTTGCAACATGTTGGCGCCATCGCCCAGTCCCGCCGTGCCTTGGTGGCAAGAGCAGATGAATGCACGCTTATCAGCAACTGGTTTTTCATGCGTGGATGAGACTGTGCAACAATATTGCATATTGCTTAAACTTCCATGTTGAAATGCGCAAACGAGCTTCTGTTGCTTCACTTGGCCAAGTCACTGCGGCCTCAAGGAATAAATGATTTGGTGTTGGTTCTTCCAATCAGACTCATGTTCAAAGTCTTCTATAAATCAACGACTTGATTTTCAGCAACAACGGGTTGAACAACAAATATCCAGACATGCACTTTGTGTCCACTGGCATCTCATACCTAGCATGTGTTGTGTGTGTGCGCGCGTTTCAGCAAACAGGTTGGTTTGTTCTCGAAAGGGCTGAATTGACTTAGACGGCAGGATGTGATCGTGGAGGCGCTGCCGGGAGCGCTGGTTGCCGCAGTTCTGCCACCCTTTGAGCCTTTAGTTGGTGGCCGAGTCAGGCTATGTGTGCCCCCAGCCTAAATGTGGCGTATGAGTTCAGTCTGAGAAAGCAAAGCACCGGAAACATCATGGTGCTTAGTTCTGAGTGAATGCTGACCCAGATTTAGGTGCTGGCCACAGATTTCCAGCGCAAGGAGATGCTGATCACTGACTGGCCCGGACGGCCAGTCTGGTTTTTCCGCTCTTTGGGATACACCGTCCTCCCAAAGCCGGTAAGCGGAGCTGGAGATCCCCCGCTGCAAGCCCCTGCTGTTCGATCTCAAGAGAGGCCTGACATTCAATATGTTGTGTTTGAAGAGTCTATGCCACGTTCCTCTTGTAAACTGGCATGTCTGCATTTGGTGCATCAAGCTCCAGCTTCTTCCCACAACATTTTTGGTTGTGGCACGGCTGTTGTTCCTCGTAGCTTTCTTCTGCATCCCTTTGCCTAGGAGCACAGAAGCACAGCTGTTTGGATAGCTTTCCTCAAGTCATTCATGGTTGGCTTGTGTGCGCAGCCTTCCAACTCATCAATAGGAAAATGACCGAGTCCCTCCCAGGTCCACCGAGCCCCGCATCCTGTGTGCCCCGCTGCCCTCGCTGAAAGCGGCCTGGCTCTTCCAGAAGCTGCAGCCGGGCGCGCAGTCGGTAGATCCATCTAGGGCTCTCTCCGTGTCACTTCAGTTTGGGGGAACCAGTGCATGACAGCAGAATCTAAGGCATAGGTGTCCTTTTCAGGTTAGTTTGGCTAAGAATAGATGGCACTGGTTTGGATGGGTTAAATTCCATTTACCAGGGCCATCTATAAATGCAAAAGGCTACCTATGATCTAAGGCATATATAATTTGCATATGAGTTGCTTTGCGTTGGGACATACCACATGCACGTGTGTGTGTGTGTGTGTGTGTGTGTGTGTGTGTGTGTGTGTGTGTGTGTGTGTGTGTGTGTGTGTGTGTGTGTGGTGTGTGTGTGTGTGTGTGTGTGTGTGTGCGTCAAAGCCAGGCACAGAGATGTTGGAGGCTAGTCCCAGAAATGTGTTTCCGTATTTGTTTTGCGGCCAGCGTGTGTGGGTATGGTCCTCCCCAGTTTCCACCAACTCAAGAATACCTCTTGCCAAGCCCTTCGGCAGATTCTAGTGTCCCTCATGTCAATGTGGTTGCATCCCAAACTCCCAGCCGATTCGGATTTTGCCACGTCTCAAAGGATGATATGTTTCAACCACGACACCTTCCCACTTCTCTCAAAAACCAGGGTTGTGGGATCAAGGGGTTTGTTCCCACTTCTGTGATACAAGGGAATCCCCTCTTTGTATGGTTAGTCTTGAGGCCCTTTTGGTTATATCACAGTGGATTCCATTTCCGCAGCCCTGCTCAAAACTATTGCTTTGTGAATCCGCACGCCAATCCAAAGAGCTCTTAGGCCGGGCCACTGGGTCAAGATCCGGGCGGCAAACCTGGCACGTCAGATGCGGAGTCCGGCCATGCGATCTCCTACCGTCCCTTTGTCCAGCTGCATCAATCCTACGCCTGATTCCTGGAGCATAAATCCCTAAAAGGTGGTGCCTAAAGCCTACACCCAAATACCTTTTAGCCCAAAACCCGAACCCCAAATGCTTGAAAGAGACGTTGACCCTAACATCTCGATGCATCCTCATGCAACCTGGTGTCGCCATGGCAGGTGACAAACCGGCCGCTCCAGGCAACGAACGCAGCACTTCCTGATCCGGAGGAGGCGTGTGAGTGTTACAGCTTGCCGCGCAAGCACACACAGACATGGCCACCTGGCTGTTAGGAGAGGTGGTCATCAATCAAGCAAACGGATCTTTCAGCACCCGCGACAAGGCGAGCTAATAAGGGAATTATCATGATCCCTCCTGCAAGGCGTGCTGAGAGTGGTAGAAGTTTGTTTGATCCTTGTGCTTGACTCGCCAACCAATGACAAGTGCCAAGCTGACAGATATTCGCGCGGATGTACCGGTGTTTGCATTTCTTCGCATGATTCTCGTTCTTTCTTGTGTTGTTGGAGGTCTGGAGTATGACAAAGCTTCTTGTCATGGCCAGCTCATTGCAAGACATCAGTCTAAGCTACATCTGATTTGCTTGTTGGCCCACGCCGCAGGATGAATTGTTGCTTCAGGTGGTTCACCGGACGTGTTGATGCTTGCAAACGTCTACGCATGGACGGTGCCAGATTCTGATACAAGAATTGCTGCTGTTTGGTGTGGCCCATATGCTGTTGTCACACTATGTGTCTAGCCCCGTGATCAACTTTGTTGGGCTCAAAGCGCATCAACTTCCCATCAATTTGGCAGCGGCAAAGCTTGAAGAGGTACTTTTGGTATGGGAGGCTGACACTCTCAATGCTCGAGGGTACGGCGACGCGCCAAATGACCCACGCGGCCAGACTTTTGACAGTACTGCAAATGTACAGCTTTCATGGCTTGCTTGATCTTGCACCCAAGCCTCTTCTTGTCAGGAGGCAGAGGAGTCAGATAACAGAGGCTGGGAGGGGATGGAGCAAGCACATCGCGAAAATCAGCTGATCTTGGTGAAAGTCTGCGGCAAATTGTGCGGATTGCGACACCTGTGGCTTGTTGAGTGGTGTTTGCCAAACTGGAAACTGTGAATGAGCACAAACGACCGTTTTGTTGAGAATTTTACAAGCCTTCACCAACATTGGCCTTCTGGGTCTGCAAGAGAGGTAGTACACAATGTTAGTGGCTAGTTCAGAGATGGGTGAGGGATAACAATTGCCAGACGGACTTGTGTTGAGGGTTTCGCGCCCATTGAGATGTTCTGGCAACCTCAATCTGATGGTGTTGGCTAAGCTTGTTCCTAGTTATATAGTGCGCTAGCAGAAGCAGCAAACAGCCGGATTGTCGAGGGTGTTCTGTGGCCATCGACGGTTTGATCGGGTTCTTCTGTGTTCAGTGTGGTGCGCGTGTGTCTTAAGCCTGCACCTTATTTCACAATGCCAGAAGAAACTGCGTGGATTAGTTGACCGTCCCATTCGAATTCGTGTCACGGTAAATCACCAGCTGATGCAAGTTTGATCAGGATCATAGTAAAGCCTTGAACAGCAAACCTACTTCACTCTCAAGCCTTTCCAGCGAGGGCAAGGCGTTTCTCTCACCATCCTCGACCTCATGTGAGTCCAGAAAGTGTAGTGCAAATTTTGACAACAAGGTGGTTCATGCACAGCAGTTTAGGCGCTGACCCTTATGACCACTTGCCTACGTGTTTCCCGACAGCCTGTCTATGCGTGTCTAGAATATGTGTTTGTGACTGCATTTCAGAGTAAATGATTCAGGCTTTGCGTGCGCCTTCTCACTCCATCATTACATTGTCAAGAAGTATGTTTGTCTACTGCCCTTCCATGCTCGAACCACTCCACAACAGATCGCTATGCTGAATGGCAATGTCGCGCATGTCATGCTGTTTGAATTCCACTACAAACCTTGACGCTCAGTCACTAGCCCCGAACAAATTCATGTCTGCCCACGATTTCTTTAGCGCATCAGTGACATGGCTGAACAAAATCCTGCACCACCTAAGCCCCTGGAATGATTCCCCTGTAAATACCAACCAACCGCGGCTTTTCATGGCTTCAAGTGGTGGATTTGGTCCACCCACCGTGCCTTGGACAACGGAGGCGCAGCCTTGGCCGCAGATCTCTTTGCGCGCTCCTCGCAGGCCATGACTGGATCCGGCGGTGGTGTGTTGACGGCGAGTGGCGGTGCTGTTATGCTTCGAACACTGCCGTTACAATTGCCATTTATGTTTTTTGTATGTTTTCTGATTGTGTGTGTGTGTGTTTGTGTTTGTGTGTTTGCGTGTGTGTGTGTGTGTGTGTGTGTGTGTGTGTGTGTGTGTGTGTGTTTGCGTGTTTGTGTGTTTGTGTGTTTGTGTGTTTGTGTGTTTGTGTGTTTGTGTGTTTGTGTGTGTGTGTGCGTGTTTGAGTGTTGGATTTCTGTGTGCCTGTGTAGATTTGTTTGTGTGTGTGTGTTTGTGTGTTTGTGTGTTTGCGTGTGTGTTTGTGTGTGTGTGTGTTTGTGTTTGTGTGTGTGTGTGTGTGTGTGTGTGTGTGTGTGTGTGTGTGTGTGTGTGTGTGTGTGTGTGTGTGTGTGTGTGTGTGTGTGTGTGTGTGTGTGTGTGTGTGTGTGTGTGTGTGTGTGTGTGTGTGTGTGTGTGTGTGTGTGTGTGTGTGTGTGTGTGTGTGTGTGTGTGTGTGTGTTTGTGTGTGTGTGTGTTTGTGTGTGTGTGTGTTTGTGTGTGTGTGTTTGTGTGTGTGTGTGTGTTTGTGTGTGTGTGTTTGTGTGTGGGTGTACGTGTTTGTGTTTGTGTGTTTGTGTGTTTGTGTGTACGTGTTTATGTATTTGTGTATTTGTGTGTTTGTGTGTTTGTGCATTTGCTTATTTGTGTATTTGTGTATGTTTGAATATGTGTAAATGTCTAATGGATGTGTACGCGTGACATTATGTGAATATATGCGTATGCGTGTATCTGCCTATGTATGTAGAATGTTTTGGAGTGTATGTGTGTATATGTGTGCATGTGCATATGTGTGTGTGTGTGTGCATGTGTAGATGTGTATGTAGATTGATGCATTCTAGTTTGAATGGCATTTGCGTGTGATGTCACATATGGCTGCTGCTACTGCTGCCGCTGACGCTGCTTCCACCGCCTGCCCCTCTTCTTCTGCTGCTGCTGCTGCTGCTGCTGCGTCTGAACAACTTTGTTGTCCCATGATTGATGAAGTTGCAGGTTTCCACTGCAAGAAGTGCAAAGGCATATTTACCCGATCGTTATATGTGGGTCGTTGAGTAGCTGCTTTTGCATCAAACATAGCATTGGACTCTGAACAAGTTTCAGCCATTGGCCTCCAAGTCAAACAGATGAGCCACAAGCGAGACCTGGGTAGATGAAGTGTAGGGAAGAGTTCCTACCAGGAATAGGTGCGGACATTCTTTCTTTCTTTTTTGCGTGATCGGGTCGACTCCTTTCCCGGGTTTTGGTGGCTCCACACAGGTGACCCGCGTGCCTGAGTGGTCTGGGACCTTGGTCGAAATTCGTCTGGGGTCCTTTACCCTTGGAGCCACCCGGGTTCCGAAAACCAAACCGCACATTCTCATGCGGGAGAAGCTGACTTATGGGTCCACAGCTTTGGCCCTTCTGCTGGAGCGTGAGAGCATGACTGCTAAGCAGGGCTATGTTCACCATTGCGTGTAGTCGAGCAGATTGCAGGCTGCTTTGTGTGGCATTCAGATCAGGAGGGTCCTAGGCCCTGAAGGCCGCATCATGCGTGGACTGATTGAGTTGCCAGGCCTTGAAGAGAAAGATGCTGGTTGGCTCATCATGACGCAAGTTTGGCGCAAGCTTCCAAGCACGAAACAAGAGGTTACCACACAGCTAGCCATGTGAGTGACTTGTTTGTTGTTGTTGTTGTTGTTGTTGTTGTTGTTGTTGTTGTTGTTGTTGTTGTTGTTGTTGTTGTTGTTGTTGTTGTTGTGGTGCGTGTGATGGTCCATCAAAAGCTTCCATCTATGTGAACCGTTGTTGTGCGTGTCATGGTCCATTGACCGACACTCTCTGTGTGAACCATCCCAGATACAAAGCTTCACTGCCTGAGGTGCAAGGATGTGGTCGTGAGAAATGCGAGTCGTGCAATCGATGCACGGGGGGCCCAGAGTTGCCAGACGACGGCTCGCTTGAAGGTTTGTTGTTTGCCAGGCGGTTTTGATCGAGACGCCGTCACGTAGTCTGATCTGGTGGGCGGCGTCGTTGTTTCAACGCACGGGTTCAGAGGATTGAACATGATCAACTCACGCAAAGGACGGGCGATTAGAAACATGTTTGTTCCAGCTCAGATTGAACGCCGGGAGGCGCACAACTCAAGAGTTGTGAAGTGAGAGATGGTCGGTCTGACCCACACAAGCCAATCGCAAACATGTAATTGATTGGCGGATGCCTTGGAACTTCATCCTGCGAAACCTGCATCCGGTTGGGCAGGATATATATTAGTGTGTCCAGCATAAGCAAGTTCTTCGCTCAAGCGCTCCGTGTCATGGCAATAGGGCACAACGCCGGCCTTTGAACCTGGGAGACCAAAGATACGGCAGGCAGATTGTGAATCAAGTTGTTCTTAGCTAGACATGGACAACCGTGGCCCTTCTTCCAGCTTGATGAACTGTGTTTTTTTCTACCAGGCTTGCTGAACTGGGGTTTTCCTTCCCGGCTTGCTGAACTGGGGTTTGGTTGGCATCCAAGTCTGAGGACAACCTCCAGGCCAGAATCAGCGCCTTCAACCTGCGCGCCGGCGACAGCGACAGGCCCTTCGCACTGTCCAGGGGCAGGGCCTTTCGTCTAACGCCTGGAGTATCTAGGAACATCTGGATCGACTTTTTCGTGGCACCTGAACCAAAAAAACTAGCACCGCGGCGCCTTGCCGGCAAGGTTTGTGAAGTCTGACAACGTATGCAAGCCTTGTCCAGCTTGCGAAATCATAGGAGCCTGAAGGGACCCACCGACCCACCATCACACTCGCAGGGTTCTCTGGTCCCCAGCCCATGGCTTTGCCAGTTTGATTTTGAGCCAGGCCGGTCCCAAGGCTGAGGCCGGCACCCAGGCAGTCGGGCAGTCGGGCAGTCGGGGGCGCGACCGAGTCGGTTCAGAATGGCGCGCTCGGGGATGGCTACGCGGCTCACAATTGCTGTCATGGATTCATCCGCACAGCGGATGGGCATACGCAGATAGGCCGGTTTCTGCAGGTCAAATGCGCGGGGATTGCGCGGGGCTTGCAGAACTCGATACGTGAAAGCTTCGAATCAGGGCGGCTTGTTCCAGCATTCAGAGATGATCTCTCATGGGACCTTTGGCAAGTGCCCTCAGCGGATGCTGGCCTTGGAGGGCTTGAGGATTTTCATGTTGACTGCGCAGGAATACGTATGGATCTCTCAGGCTGTTTGAAGGACACCAAAGTTGATGTCATGAAATTGCCCCGCGGCGTACAAGCAAGAGTGGAAGATCCCCGCCAAGAGAGACACCCCACGTCCATTTGTATGTATTGGAATATTTGGAGTGATTGGCAATCTCAAAACCAAGATTTCTTTACCCTCATGGTGTTCCTTCGCGAGCTTTCTTCCGTGTGCATGTTCCTTTCGCGACGGCTTGCATCAGCGCTTTCGCGGCGGCTCCTGGAAATTAGCAGGGCAACCTTTCAGTACAAGAAAAGTATGCCAAGTGCACTTGGTAGCTCCAGCTTGAAAATCGCAGCTTTGCAAAACACGCGTAGCACACCAAGTGCACTTGGCAGCTGCAGCTCACAAAGCGCTACTTGTCACTGTGCAAGAGCAGTGTGCAAAAGAAGCCACTCCTTGGATCCTGGCACGCCTTTCGCGCAGCTTTCGCTGAGGTTTCGCGAAAATCCCCCCGCAGTTTCGAAGCTGGCAAGCAGCCTGTGCACGCTGCTGAGCATCTCGCGCGGCCGCCGCCTGCTCCTTTCGATACAGATCATCGCAAGGGTTTTGGGCGCTGCTCATTTGGTTTGCCGAGGGTCGCCATGAGCATGGACAGCATGGACACATCTACAATGGTGCTGAACATCGGCTTGGCCATGCTTTGAACGGATTCATCAGATTAATTCTAGCTGATCCCTTTTCGAATAGCGGAAGATTCTCCAGGGGAGGACTGGACGATCAACTGAAGAGCTACGCAGTGATGGAGTTTGTTTCGTTGTCGTATTCTTGTTTTTTTAGAAGCAAGAACATAGATGCACGCGATTCTTTGGGCCATACACTTCAATGGCATCGTTTTCCCGGCATTTGTGTACTGTCCAAATCAAGGCTCAGTTTTCTTCGACAAGTCGACGGCGAACTTGTCCGCTGTTGCAGGCCCGCTCTCGAGGACCAGGCGGTCGGCCGGTTGAGTCAGAAATTGACCCTGCCCGCCGCACAGGGAAACAGTTGCCTTACGGGTCGAACATTCCTTCTTGTTCTGCCCTAAAAGCAACCATGCAGAGTCTACTTGGGAGATCACCAAACCACATCGCCCGGTCTATTTGCTGAACTAAACTTTCCAACCATCCCCGTCCACGTCATGCCACATCCAATCGCTGAACCGGCTCCAGGTCTTTTTGTCTTAGCGGTTGTTGTTTTAAACTTTGTGTTAGCCAAATAAGTCTACCGTCTCCCGCAAACGTGATCTTGCCCCCATTGCGCCGGTGTAAGCATCTCTACAATTTCTTCGTCTGCCAGACTGCTGGTGGTTGGTGGTTGGTGTTTGGTCACGTACCCATGATCAAGCTTCGGTTTATGACCTATTGCAGCTTCCCACAAATCTGGTGTGATATGGCAAATGTACCAGTTAATTCGGGCTCATGGCGAAAGCCATCAGCGATTTGCCTAGATTCTGAGGCCCACAACTGCCTCGCATCGGGCACAGAGATTGAGACATGCGACGAGTGCTTGGCCAGCCTTGGTTCAACCTTTGGCGCTTGGACCAAAGCGGCCCGCAGGCGGATGAGCTTCAGCGCGCCGCAGCAGGGCAGCCAGCGTCCTCACGGCCCGGCCGCACTTCAGAAGCCTTCCGCGCGGCCCGGTCCCTGGAGTCTAGCGGGACTCACATGACTCACACAAAAGGGGCGGGGGGTGCGCCTCAAAGGAGGGTGTTCTTAAAATGATGTTTGGGGTTCCAGCTTGATTTTCGAAGCACTGCACGAGGAGACGGGAAACCCCGCAAGTTTTGCTATGAACTTGGTTTTGATTGTCTGTCAAGATATGGGACAGAAGCGTTGCAGTAGTTGTCTTTTTTTAGTGGCGTCACGCAGAGAGGCATGTGCCATGCCAAAAAAGTGGTGGCAATGCAGGGCGAAGCTACACAGCAATCGTAGCGATCAACACAAGGTCCCCCAGTAGTGCCAACTTTTACCAACTTTTTTGGGGGAGAGTTCCCCCACTGAAGTAGACTACAGAAAATAACATGAAATAAAAATGGGTACCCTTATTCTTTTTCTTTACTGGAGGATCTAGGTGACTTCCTTCTGGTGCTTTCCATTTGCCGAGTCGCCGAGGTAGATGCACCTCCCGCTCGCCTGGACTCTAAGTTTTACGATGGGGAGGCATGGCAACAAAAGGCTTGCCACACGTCCATGCAGCGAACCCATGGAAATTTGGCTGTGGGTCAAAACCAATGGTACCATTTTGGTTGGTAATTGAATTCACCACCCATTTTAGAACCGATTTTAGTGGGGCTTGGGATGCTCACTGAAAATACGGGATTTTGACCCATGGCCATGTTGAAACCCTTGGGAAGGTTTTCCGTAGTTATGCCATAGCTCCAGGTTTGGGAGGTAGTAAACTAGGGGCTCACACCAGAATGAACACTTGTTTATACAAACAATTGTTCATGGGTTTCCAAGAGTCAAGCTCGGAGAAGATAGACAGCTGTGAGCGCCAGTCTCAGAATGATGCGGTGGATAGGTGGGATTGCTTGATGGCATGTCGGCACAAGGCTTGCCTTTGGACATGACATGTTGAAAGCTCTCCGTGGATTTTTGTTTGGCGAAACACCCGGGCCCTTGGGAAGGCTTAGTGGGGGAGAGGCCCGGGGGGTCTGCCCTGATGGGCTTGCCGGGATTGAAGCCGGGACCCCCTTCCTTCCAGAGCCCTCCAGAAGTCTCTTGACACAAGCAACACGCACAACATACTACTAGGAAGTTGGTAAGTGGAGGACTTAGGTGGGCCACAATGCCCCACCCAAGCTGAGGTGTCCCGAGTTGAACCCAGTTGC